ACGGCCTGTCAGAGTACGCAAGAGAGTTTGGCGTGGAAATTTATTCAAAAAATGATTAAAAAATAGTGCCTGGGACTTAGGGGGCTCCCCCCGATTCTAGCCCCCGAGGGGGGCTCGGCTCTGTAGAGGCAGAGCCGAGTCTCCCTTATAACGTTATTTCTACGTTGGTTCCCCGCCGAGGGGGGAGTTTTCTTGAAAAATTAGAATAAGTAAAGAATGCTTCTTTAATATATTTCGAGAAACAATATATATAATGCTTGGAGGTTTAAGGGTAGAAACGACGTAGCTGTTCTATGTTCCAAGCGTTGGTGAAGATTTCGCCCTTCTCGTTGGCCAGCTTGTAGGTCCCGGGTTTTAGCACTTGGGCGATGATGTACGGTCCTTCCCATGGCGGGGTCATCTTGTGGTGGCCCTTGTTGCTCTGCCTCAGTCTTAGCACCAGGTCACCCACCTTCAGGTCTCGGCTTCGGATGTGCCGGGCTTGATAGCGTCATAGGGCTTGTTGGTACTTGGCTGAATGTAGCAGCGCAACATCTCGAGCTTCCTCCAGTTGGTCGAGAGCGTCCTCGTGGGTAGTGCGGTTGCTTTGCTCATTGTAAGCCTCCAGCCTTGGGGAGCCATACTCCAAGTCAGTGGGGAGGATGGCCTCGGGTCCATAGACCAGGAAGAATGGCGTGAACCCCATGGCTCGGCTTGGTGTATTCCTTAGGCTCCAGATGACCGACGGGAGTTCGACCAGCCATTTCTTGCCGAATTTCTTCAACCGGTTGTATATCCTTGGCTTGAGGCCCTGAAGAATCAAGAATCGCGCCGAGTCTGACAGGAACAAGGGGAGGTTACGGATGATGAGCAGGTCATCGTTCGTGCCACCTAGCTGACAAGCCAAGCGGTAATCGGCTAGCCACAGCTCGGGGTTGGTCTCGCCACTGTATTTCGCGAGATTGGCCGGTTGCTGGAACCGGGCAGGATATGGAACGTTGCGGATGGCCTTGCTGAAGACTCTAGGGCCAGGCAGCCTAGGAGAAGGACTGCGGTCCTCCCCACTGTCGTAGCGGCCACCTCGGTGTGGCTGGTAGCCTCGGGCTAGCCCGTCGTTGTCGTGGCACCGTCGCCTGCTGACCACATCGTGGTCCTCTTGTGCCTCGTGTCGGTCGCTGAGGCGGTCGTGGACTGAGGGAGCCTTGAGGCGATCGTGCACTGAAGGCCGCTTTGAGGTGTTCTCACGTTGCCGAGACGCGGAGCTTTTGGCCTGCTGTACTGTGGCAGTTTCGAGAAGGTCTCGGAGCGCGCCGCGGACCCGTCGCCCCTCCATGGTAGAGGGCTCGAGCATCGCTCGGACTAGCATCGCCGTCGCCGCGACGTTCTGGCTAGCGTGATTGAAGATTGGGGGTTGCTCACTTGCTTCGTCGTTGTTGATGCGGCGGTGCACGTCGTGGGCCCTCTGCCGAGCCCCACCGCCATCACCGTGACCTTGCTGCTCCTGCTCGAGAGTGTCTCGGAGCTGCTGCAGCAGGAGTTGATCTTGGTCAACTTTTGCCAGGAGCTCACAGAGCTGCTCTAGGTCTAGGCGTTAGAGATCCTCGGGGGCGACATTCACGTTCCGCGCCGCCCGGAGCTCGACGAGCGAGGGTGTGGCGTCGCCCACCCCTTGGCGGAGCGGGGACCGGTTACCTGCCCTCTCACCCTCATTACTTGCCCCTGGCATTCCGAGCCCGACGTGGAAACACTCTTGAGTGGGATCGTAAGTGCTTTCGTCATCGGAGTCGGAGTAGCCGAAACAGTAGTCGCTTGCGGCCAAGAAGCAGCGCATAGCCTCGGGGTCACAAAGCCCAGAGAAGTCCGCTCCGGCCCATGCCTCGTCCTCCTCCGAGGAGTCAGTGTGGGTGTGAGTCGAGATTGTGGTGGAGAAGTCGAGGGCTAATCGTTGGTGGTATTCCGAGGGTTCCGCGTGCGCGGAGGCGTAAGCGAAAGCGTAGGCGGCGGTGACGTTTTTCAGCCCGAAGGGGTACGGGGATGGTGCCACCGCTGGGCTCCGCTCTGCCTGAGTTGATTCCTCAGGATGTGGCGGGGCCAAGCTTGACGACGGGACGTCGTTGCGTGCTATCGGCGTCTTTTCCCTGCCCAGGCTTAGGATAGATGGGTCCCTAGCCAGGGATTCTATACCAACAGCCGGGCATGGGATGTCGGCGGAGTGCAGCACGCAGCTCTAAGCTCGCATGGCGTCGGAGTAGTCCCGCTCGCATCGTGCCTGGCGAGCGTGACGAGAGCGGTGGCCCGGGCGCCGCCTGCGCCCGGGCTACCGATGCGTGACGTCGTCGCCGGCCGGTGGGGCTCTGGGTGTGAGGAGTACCATATCGTACTCACATCCTAGCGACATGAATTCTAGGCTCCTAAACCAGACCACCGTGTCGAGACGTAGTGGGCGTATGGGGTTAGCCATCCGGAACTTGTTGCGACGATCACGATAACACACAGAGGCCCCTACCTGGCGCGCCAACTGTCGGTGTTTCGGACCGTGGGGTCCTCAACCAACTAGTAAAAGTGAACTGCGTGCCCCTAATCTTGGATGGTGATGCAAAGAGACACAAGGTTTATACTGGTTCAGGCAATTGGTGCCCTACGTCTAGTCTGAGAGATCGGTCTTGTATTCCTTGCACCGAAGTGCTTGTAGTAGGGGGTTACAAGCTAGGTGAGAGAGGGAGCTAGTCCCAGGTCTCGGCGTGGGATGGTGCAAGGTGCTTGAGACGCTGCTCTCAAGCAGCCCGGGAGCGTGGGTGTTACAGGATGTGTCTAGGGCGAGTATGGGAGCGCGGTTCTATCGTCTCTTTTTCCTCCCCTAGCTATCCCTGGCCGCTTCCTTTTATAACCGCAAGGAAGAAGCCAAGAGTACATGAATAAGCTACACGTGGGGCCTACTATAGTTTTGTCCTGTAGCAGCATGGCGTTGGGAATGGAGATCGGTACTTGTCTAGCGTGCCGTGCTGGTCAGGTTTGAAGTGGTTGAGGTCGTGGAGGTCCTTGTCGATGTCTAGTCAGTATGACTTCCACGGCTGGAGACATGCCGTGCTTTGGTGGACTCTTGACCTGGTGGAGTGCCGAGGCCTAGTGGGTTGTAGCTAACCACGTTGAGGCCTGATTTGCCGAGGCCCTGGTGGGTGTTTGTAGCTGACCGCGCCGAGGCCTGATTTTCCGAGGCCCTAGAGGGAGCAGTTGGGCCTATGCACTGATTCCGAGGCTATAGTGACCTGGTTTAGGTGGAAAAGTGCGGGGCATGGTAAAAAGGAGATTTGACCGTTGTCCCATCGCTTCTCTGTTTTGTACCCGTCGGTCGTGGGCTGATGAAGCGGGTGCATTCAGCGCATTAAATGGATGGGACAGCCTGCCGAGGGGATGGTTAAGGCGGAGGGCGGCGACGAGGATGTGGGATGAGCTGCCGGCCTCGGCCGAGGCGGAGAAAGAATAACGTTCGAGACTCCGCCCGCCGGGGTCTCTTGACGAGGCTAAGAACGAGCAACCTGGGCTCTTCGCGGTTCTAGCGAGGGGTGAGACTACTGAGGGACTGGACTTGACCTTCCACGCCGCTTTGTCCTTAGCAGGGTCGTAGCACAAGGCGAAGACTGGTGTCGATATCGGAGAAGGAGCCTGATGATGAGCATAATGGTAGGTAACCCCGCTGCGCCCGGTCCCTGTTTGATTTTTGCAAGGTTTAAGCAATATTTTTGGTTTCGCTTAGGGTACCCTTTCGTTTCGCTTCAGACCGCTCTAGGAGAATTCATGCGCGCGGCCGGCGTTTATTTTTGGGAGTGGTTGGGCGCATTAACCCGGACATGACGTTTTGTCAGAGGAGTTCGGTCGGGACGGAGGTAACGAGGTTGTTTGCCGAGCCCAGCCTCAAGCGAATCGGAGAATTGGCATCCCGTCCGAGGCCTTTCGTATGGGCCTCGGTGAGAGGGTCTCGGCGAGAGGCCTCCTCATGGGCGGGAGCTTTGGCCTTTCAAGATGGGGCTTCGGCGCAAGGCCTCGGGCGAATCAGAGAAATCTGCTGAGACCTTGCGGTAGTCTTTCGGCTTTGATTTTTGCAAGGTTTAAGCAATATTTTTGGTTTCTTGCTTAGGGTACCCCTTCTTGCGGTATCCGACACTTTACATCGTAAGAGCAGCTCTAGGAGAATTCATGTTTTTTTCTGGAAATTTTATTTTACAGAATGATTAAATGATAGATTTAGAATATATTTTTAGGCCCTGTTTGGCACGGCTTTTCCATCGGTTTTAAGAGCCATTTGGAGTTATTTTGCATCAAAGGGGTAAAGCAAAATGGTTTCACCTAGAAAGCCCCTTAAATCGTGCTCTCATAAAGGTTTGGGGTGGGTTGCAACTGAAAATAGTAGCTTCACCCGGCTTTACCTCGTCTTAGTTGGCCCTGTATAGGGTTCTCTAAGAGCATATTTTAAGGAGCTCTAGATGTGGAGCTGTTTTGTCATACAATTTACCAAAGCAACTACAGCTCTACTGATGAAGTTGTTCATAGAGCTAAAAAATAGCTTAAGTAGTGAAGTGACCAAACGGGCCTTTAACTAACTTGTTAGAGTTGCTCTAAAGTGCTGTGCTTCCCAATCGAAATTCGACGACACAAGAGGGAAGCTTACGTGAGTCTGGGCTGGGGTGCATGGGCCTCCGATATACATGCACTGCGCGACTCGATGTTTTGTGGGCCAAGGGGGCTAGGGTCCAAGTTGGCCAACGTGTAGCTCTGATGAAAATTGTAATGAGAAATAAAACATGCTCCAAGGTCCTCTAGTGTTGAAAGAAAGCAAGATGCAAACTAGGGTATGAGATTTTAGTATAAGTATTTTCTTTCACTCGTAACTAAAATGTTGAAACTCTTAAAATTTCGTTGATATTTTTTTAGCCCTGCATTCTATTGATATGGCTCTTTTGTCATCGTATATATCTCTGCATCTCTAAGATAATGATCCTGCTCCTCCTCTCCCACTATACACTATGGTTCCATACACGGTCGTCTCCCTTTTGTTACTCTTTCTTTTTCTTCACGTGAGGAGCTAGCCGCTGATGTCTAGACTGTAGAGACAAGGGGTACCCTAGTATCATGGTTGAGTTATTGGAATACACATGTTAATTTAACAGGCGGCATGCAAGGTGCCCCACAAGATTGAAGTGAATTAAATCTCCCAACCAATTATAGCCTGAGTCTAGGTTTTTTGTTTCCGTTTATTTCTCTGGTCCATAAAATGTAGACATTGACCCCTCTAAGTGTAGGTACATTGCTACGTGTCACTGTTGAGTTAAAACTTAGTTTAACAGGATCTTATCTTAGTCTAGACATGATCACTAACTCAATCCTATGCGGAAATTAGATATTAGTAGCTAATCAGAGTTTGTAGATGTCATCTGAGTGCCTCTATAGATATAGATGAAGTATATATTAGTCTTCACCATATTGGGGATTGATACTTTTGGTTGGTGAAGAACTTGATGTGGGTCTTGGAATAACTGAACGAACATGGGCAGACGACCTTCCAGACGCTTCAGCGCCTAATAGATCGGTTCAGGTGTTTCTCGGTGTGAATACATCGAGGAAGTCTTGGGAGCATCAGCCCCTTGTTTATATGCGCGGCGTGCCTAGGGGCCCAACCCTAGAAAGCTTAGAGATGTCTCCGATCATGGCAAAGGGTTCTATAATACAATAGACACTATTTGGTACCTAATAATTATTGACAATTTATATGTTAGCAAAGAGATCACATTCCAACAATCACTAGTTGTCGGGTATCGATATTAGGGATACTCAGAGGAAGGAAGTTAACGGCCATGAACGTTAATTCGCCTAGATGGTCCGAGACATATTTAAGGTCTCGCCCGACCCCGAGGGCGCGGGCTCCGTCTCATCCAACCCCGAGGGCGCAGAATCCGTCTCGCCCGCCCCTCGAGCGTGGGCCCTATCTCGTCTGACCCCTCGGGCGTGGGCTCCATCTCGCCCCACCCCTTGGGCGCGGGCCCCGTCTTGCCCGACCCTGAGGGCATGGGATCTGTCTCCCTCAACGGGGATCCATACCGCCTCCAACCACTTCGGGTCTAAGAGTACAACCCCAGGGTCAAACTTCTAACACCAGGAGGGAAGCGGGCACGTCTCGACGTGACCCGTGGCCACGATGGACCATACCAGGGGCTCACATCACCAACAGTGTCGGGCATGCCGACGCTATGCTACCTAATCCCCATACGACTTCTAATAGAAGTACCTGTTGACCACGCCGCCCGCCGGAACAGAGTAGAGTGCCTCGACTGGCTGACGATGCCTACGTATATCGCCAGTGATGAATAGGGCCACGACATGGAGCCATCCCATCATCATCTACAGGACCGACGGGACCCGCATAAAGGAGATGAAGGACACCATGACCCTAGAGGCCTTCTTCTCCCTCACTTTTCTCCTTTTTCTCTCTTTCTCTCTCTGTAACCTGCGCCTTCCTCTTCACTTATAAAAGGGGAAGCAGGATGCCCCATGAGGGGCATGAGCACATGACTGAACAAGCTCAACAAGACTCAACTCCGTTCGATCTTTTCACCAGATACTTGGGACCTTCTTCCTCTCTCGCCTGTTTGTAACCACTACTACAAACTAGTGCGGTAACACAAGCAGCAGCAGACTAGACTGTAAGGAAAATGGACCCTTGGCTCATTTACTTTGGATTTTGCTGTTTGAAGACCAACACAACCAAATTGGACTAATAAACTTGCAAGTGATTGTTTTGTAGTTCAATAGGATGCAAGACGTGATTTGGACAAAGGCGATGTGATGATCCGATGATCAACACCATAAGCAAGACCCTAGGAGCACAAGAGAAGACCCAAGATATCAAGCAAAGTCCAAGCATGAAGATAGGAACCAAGCCGTACGCAAGATCACGAAGAAATGAGCTCACAGAAGTGACCGAACGTTGGACCGAACGCTGGAAGAAAATGACCGAACGCTCCGATCAAGAGGCTCGGCAACAGGCACGACCGGACGCTGGATCGGACACTGGTGGCAGATCGACCGGACGCAGGACAACAGAGTCCGGTCGAGTACAGAGAGGTTCTAGAGCGGGGAAACTACGACCGGACGCGTCCGGTGGCAGGTGACCGAACGCTGGCAGCGTCCGATCAAGTGTTCGCGGCTCCAACGGTCGGGACGACCGGACGCGTCCGGTCAGGACGACTTCAGCGTCCGGTCAGTAGCAGAAAAGCGGGAATTCATCCCCAATGGCTACTTTCTCAGTGAGACTTATAAATAAAACCCCAACCGCCCAAATGAGATGTGTGGAGCTGAGGAAACATATCAAGGGTGTTGATACACCATTTTAGTGATCTCCACTTGCATAGTGCTTAGTGATTCATTAGGTGATTAGCGTAGGTGCTTTGCGAAGTGCTTAGGTTGATTAGACCACCGCTTATGCGCTTACTCTAGGTTTAGTCCTAGTGTTTAGTGAGGTTTACAAACCTCTTATCACTCGGTGCTTGCGAGCACCATTGTTGTACATCGGAGGGGCTTGTAGTCTTGTGAGATCACACCAACCGCGGTTGTGGTGTGGCCGCCACCGTGTATCGAAGGGAACAAGGCCCGCGGCGTTTTGGCCGGAAGCTTGATAGTGAAGATGGCGGGGAGCATCCGGGAGAGGCTTGCCAGAAGGCACATCGGAGACCCACTTGCGTGTGGGGAAGGCCCGAGGCTATCCACGGAGTTACCCGACCGGGAGCTTGGCCCTTGCGATGGATTCCTTGCGAGGGGCTCCAACGAGGACTAGGGGGAAGTTTGCGCCGACGGGAGTTTGCATATCTCTACCTTGCTCTTTAGTTTCCGCATTTACATTAATTGTATTACTCCTTTTGCGGTAGAGATAGCAACACACTAGCTAAACCGTAGTTGCACATTTAGATAGTTCATTTATTGCATAGGTTTTGCTAGGATTGGAAAAAGAGGCCATAGTTGAGAGTTAGATTTTAAGTTGCCTAATTCCCCCCCCTCTTAGGCGTCACGGTCCCTTCAATTGGTATCAGAGCCAATTGGCTCAATTTGGACCTTTGGCTTAACCGTCGTTTAGCCGACGACATTTAGAGTGGTTGGGATGGATACCTCTAGGCCTCCCCACTTTGACGGCACTAACTTCCCTTATTATAAGGCTAGAATGGCTTGCCACTTTGAGATGGTTGATTTGGGTGTATGGAGAGTTACTCGTGACAGGATAAAACCCATCAAGAATCCCAAAAAACCCACAAAGAGTGATGAAAAAGAAATGCATTTCAATGCTAGAGCTAAGAATTGCTTGTTTGTATCATTTAGCATGGATGTGTTTAACCAAGTATTGACTTTAAATACGGCACATGAAATTTGGTTAAAACTCCAAGAGCTCTATGACGGCACAAGTAATGTCCGTGAGCAAAAACACTGTCTAGCTAAACAAAATTATGATTCCTTTAAAATGAATGATGATGAGCATGTTCGTGATATGTATTCACGTTTGAATCTAATTATCAATGAGCTTCATTCAATAGGATTAATAAAGCTAGATGATGCTGACATCGTGAGGAAGATCATCTCCATGCTACCACAAAATAAATATGCAAGCATCATCACCATCCTTCACAATATGGAGGACTTGAGCACCATGACCCCGGGCATAGTCATCGGCAAGTTAGTGGTATTTGAAATGTCACGTAAGATGGGTCAAGAAGAAGCTTCTTCATCAAGCAAAGGCAAAGCTCTCGCATGTAGTGAGAAAAAGAAGATGAAGGGCAAGCTAGATGAGACAAGCTCAAGCTCAAGCTCCTCAAGTGAAGATGAGGACGGTGATGATGATGATGAAGATTCAAGTGATGATCAATCTTCCTCCTCCACCTCCGACCTTGATGAAGAATCAATCAAATTAATCAACAAGGTGGAGAAGTGTGGCAGAACCTCCTAAATTATAGGGCCCACATATACCTGTCACTGTCCAACGACATTTGACATCTATGCATATGTTCCCGATAACTTAAGAAGACTATCGGGTGTCCTTGGAGAACCCCGAATCATCCACGATTTCTGAGCAGGATCACATTATAGAGTCATCGCAGTATTACAATAGTTTATTCAAATAGATACATCAGAGTAAAAACAGCGGAAGTCTTACAATAACATAGTTTACAAACCATTTGTTTCAAACCATACAACTAAGTTTGATATTAATACAAACCAAAGTAGTGGAGTGGCATTATAATATATTACAGAACACACAAAGAAGCTGCCCTGCCCATGGGCCACACATTTACTTATCGTCATCGCACTGAAGAACAGTCATGCAGCACGATCCAAAACAGATCTGCTCATGACCCTCACCTGCAACAAGGGTCAACGAACCCTGAGTACAAAAGTACTCAACAAGACTTAACCGAAATAAAATTGATAAGACTCAGGTATGCAGGCTCAGGGATTCAAGGTATGGCTTTAGCAATAATCAAAGTTCTTTTGTGTAAAAGCTCTTTAACAAAATTCTTTATATCAACATTTAAAACTTCATAAGATCATATACAAAGCTGACACGATCTGCAATGAGATCATGAAACTTCATAACCAACACCTTCACAGACCATCCTCAAGTTCCAGTTATTAATTACTACGATGATGAACAGTGAGTTAAGTCTCCATAACTGAGGAGCAACGACGATTCAAACCGATTAAAAACCCAGCTGGGAATTCCAGATCACACGACATATGCAGGTCCCCGACTTACATATATCAACCTACCCTCGGATCCTCTAAAACAAGAACATGTCCGCGCCACCCGAGAATACAGTACTCCACCAATCCAGCCTATTGCTACGTGGGTACACGCTATTCCCGCCATCTCTCCACTCCCAGTGCGCGAGTAGCCATTCTCGTAATAGAATAGCCAAGTTAAGGCTTACCGGAGTATGCGGTTAGTACTACAAAGTCTCACCTCATGCAATTCAACAACGGTACGAACCTTAATCGACACAGGCAGAAAGAACCGGCTCATAAGACCTCCATGTCT